GGTGGTGTACCCACTTGAGCTGGAATGACCAGGCATGGACAATCATTTACATTCATTTCATGCATTCATTTACATTCATTTGCCTCTAACTTTTTTAATCAACAGCATTTTGCAAAATGATGTAAAGAGCTTTAGTAGGTTTTGTTATTAACTACAACTTTTGCTCATAACTAAAATCTGTATCTCTTATACATTCTTGCAGAATTCTTTTGATGAAAAAAGTAGGAAATACATGAATGTAAATGAATGCACGAAATGAATGCAAATGATTTTCCATGCCTGTTGGCACTCAAAAATAGGGTACGGGCTCAGCGTAATGTTTCGCTGTAAAGGTAAAGAATGACTTAATATGGTTAAAACGACTATACAAAAAAAAATCCAGCGCAAAGAGCACTAATCCCAAGATTTACGAGGTTTATAAATCTGAAAATTTCAGATATTTCATGCTTCTCCGCAGCAAACAACTAGTCCAGTCTTAACATTTTGACTTGTGCTATTGCAAAGTGTAATGCGAAACAGGACGCTACTAGGAATCACCTTAAGGTTTTCCACGCTTCTTCATGGGGTTTCCTGATTTTGTTTAAGCTCCTCTGATTGCCTCCGAAATTTTTATGTTCAGAGCTTCTTTGAAAGATGCGTTTCGAGGATCCGCTTAACCTCTCTGAGGTTCACGGACGTATTATAGGCTCTTCTGTGTTTTTCTAAGCTTCCTGTGCTTCTTTGAGATGTCTTGCACGTTTCGGATTACAAGGTGCTTAAAAAAAATCTCTGAAGTTGCCATTAACTTCTTTGAGTTTTTTGACGTAGGAATACGTCTGTGATTTCTATATGGGGGTACACTTTGTGAAGATCAAAAATGGAACATGTAACGAAATTATGAAAGATTTTGAATGTTAATAACTCAGCTGCCCCTGGACCAATTTCAATAATGTTATCACCATTCGATCAGAAATATTTCTACGTATCGCCGACTGTTGATTTTCAAACTATTGACAAAGCTTTCACGTAATCTTTGAAGAACCGTTGCATCGAGATTTCAAGATCGATCTTATAGGATTCACTGTTATTTTCCTTTTGACAGATTTGATGACCCCTGAAGTGCGTCCACTTCTTGGTCACAGAAACCCGGTGTCATCCCACGATCTTCCTAATCTCTTTTATTGGCTTTTGGGCGAGAAGCAAACTCGTAACCATTTCTTTTGCCATTTTAGTAAACTTTTTGAACGAAAGCCACTGTTTTGTTTACATCACTTGACAGTAGAGGTTCTGACGAATACACATATAAAGCAGTACTAAAAACAATTTTAAAATAAAATAATCTGTTAACAATGTTGCATTTTTTATGGGTTATACTGTTGTGACCGTTCGGAAAATTACTCGAGGTTTTAGTAAAACACAGTGGCTTAAGCGTCACTCTCGGTTAGGAGATACCACTGCTCGCGTTTGTATTTTTTTCCCGACAGATAGAGTCTTTTCCTCGGGGGACCTCTCGAACGGTCGTTGGAATCTAACGGCAAACTTAACGGAAACGCCTAGGGTTCTAGGAATTTCAGGTACGATTATTTAACGACGTTATAATCTGACTCATTCAAACACCGAACGAAGCGGAAATCAAACGGAAGGAATGCCTAATCAGCTTGAGCGAAAACGGAAAGAAACGGAAACGTAACATAGTGTGAGTGTGCTTTATTCCATTGAGTAGCATTAAACGTACAAAACCGATCTTAAAATTATACCATTTTCTTGTATTTAAGCTTCATTCGTTCGTGTTGGACTATTGAGTGTGGGTGTACGGGAAAAAGTATACATGGCCATGATACGAAAGCTCCATCATACCAACATACGTGATGGCGCCACTCAGATGCTGCAATTTGGTGCGCTGCAATGGGAGGTGACTCGTGTGCGTTATGGCCGTAGTTAAAGGTGCGAAGGGAGTAACGGCTGGACGGAGGGCCTCCGATTTGGGCACGAGAGCTAAGCGACGACGGTAAGTCGTGCTGTCCCGGAAGATTCGCTCCGCAGGGAAGAGGGACCAACGTACCGTCGGACGGCTTCGCGTACTTTGCATCCGCTATGACCGCCCGAGATGAAATGTAACCCTCCATCTCGTAGGATGGAATCCGATTGGCGACGCACTCGCACGTTACGAGCTCTCGGACGAAAATGGTCCACGGGGGTTATGTCTTAAAAGGACCTTACCGCCGGATAGTTGACGACCGACGGGGTTTATGTCACTTTGAAGATGGCGAACTTCACTCCCCTCCATTTAGCTACCTCTGAAAAGGCGAGCCTTCGCAGTACACACGAGTCAACGGACGAGAAGGGCGATGCCACAGAAAGGTTCCCCCGATCCGACGTTGATGATTGCCAAACGGAGAAAACGTAGATCCAGCCCGTACAAAAAATGCGCCAAGCGCTGGAAGTCCAACACGAATTCACATTAATTTCACTAGTTATAACCTAATTTAAATTTAAGAAATTACCTTTTTTGTACCAATTCATTATTTAAATAAAACTGAACAGACTACGCGGTAATTATTACGGACTTATGTCCACTAAACATAAAGAAAGGAAAACGTGTTAAAACCACTTTATGACAAAAAAAACTCACTCACTATTTGTACCTTCCAGCTTCTAAGAAAACTTTAACGTATTAAACTCAACTAACTCAAACTTGAAAACGTAAGAACACTCTGTTCTCCAGCCGATTTGTAAGCGAAATGGTTTGTAAGCAAGAAATATCTTAATGACCTTTCCCTTTTAAAAAATGTCATCCTTAAAAATCCACTTTCTTTATTTAAAAAATTCCGTCGAACCATTTGCATGGCGACCCATTTCATGGTGCCTCCAGAAAGTATGTAGATTTACGGCGGTTCGCTGTATGCTCGAGCTTTTATAGCAAAGTCGTAACCTCGACACAGGGATAATCTGATCTTATATACACGGTTGAAATATTTCATTTCTTGACAAACCTAATGTAAACCTTAAACTAATTCTTTATTTGATTTAATTTAAACGAAAACTATTTTCAAAAAAATCGCAAAACATTACACTGTACAGAGAATTTGAGCAATTCTCGCTGAAACCACCCAAGTAACAATTTTGGTTTTATGAGGGTTCTGTAAACCATGATTTAGACTTGTAGAATGCTTTAAAACCCCGATAAAGCCGGCAGTGTTTATTGGGCAGTCCACTTTTTGCACGAGGTTTTCAAAAACCATTTTTTAGGAGTCATTCCGAGGTTCTAAGTATGTAACTAGAAAAATCTATCGGTAGAGGTCAAATTGATGGATCCCTCGGTAGTTGGGAGCTCTAACAGTTTTCAAAAGTGATCTATTATTGCGTATTCTTGATTCATTCAAATAATTATATCTTTGTAAATTATCAAGAAAATTCCTAATGCTTATACACCACTAGAAAGGGGAAAATTAGGGCTTTTTTTAAATAAACATTTTTATTTTCATTAATATGCATAACACAATTTTATTTCTCCATCAAAATTCAAACTGCATTGCTGAGGAGTACTACGAAGGTTTAAATCGCAACCGTGCATTCAACACAAAATTCTGCAACCGAATGCTGTATGAGATTGTGGAACGTGTTGTGCTGTCACCGTCTGGACGATCAAAAGTGTCAACACGATTTCACCACTACAACAGTCGGAGAGAAGATCGTGTATAACGAATTTCATCTGCACTTTGTGGTAGGTCAAAAACTGAGAACGAATAGATATTTAGGTTTAATTTTTAATTATTAGGACATAATTTTGATGAGCAGACGGTCACCGGACCAATCTTTTAAATTTGTAATAGATGTAGTTAGTAGTAATAAATGTCCATTCCCAAGGTAAAACATGCATCTTATAGGAAAAAGTTGAAATGAAGAATAACTTCAATATAATGGTCAAATTCAATATGTCCGGCAAAATTTTTGAACATTCCAAAAGGAAGCCCTAACTTTCGCCTTTACTATGGTGTATAATAGATTGGTTCAAAATGTAGATTTCACTCCATCGAACTCAATCGATTTCAAATCAGGTCCTGGTAATTCTCCCAAAATTTGAGCTCATTTGGTTGTGAACTCATGCAGCGCTAGCCTTTTGAAGTTTATTTGAGAATTACTATAGGAAAAAGCGGCGCCGGTGGTGTAGTGGTAAGCGTGATTGCCTTTCACCCCCAAAAGACCTGGGTTCAATCCCGCGCCGCCGGGATTCTCTGAGGCATAAAATCTCTGATCACGCCTTCCTTCGCAAGGGAAGTTAAGCCTTTGGTTCCCCGGTCCATGAGTTGATGGGTCGATAGGTAGGGTCCAGGTGTAGCATTGGTATTCAGTACGGAAAACAAGATCGACGGAAAACAAATCAAGGGAAAAAAAACTATGGGAAAAGTGATCTACAGAAAATTTTGCTTTCTGTGCTAATGTTAAATTTTTCCAGTTACAACTTTGCTCAAGGCATTGAAAGCTCTCAAATTGGAAGTGGATCTAGAACACTAAGTTGAGAGCACGTAATAAGCTTTAAATGCGAAGAAGACCTGAAATATTCAAATCGCATCGCCACATGAAAGCTGAGATTCATTTCCGTGAATTTGCAACCGAATAGCCACCATCAACACGCATCCCCATCATCGCTTTCTCTGCAACACCAGAGCAGACTGCATAATTTGGTTTGGCTATGTTGCAGTGAACTCTACGTGGCTCTGCCGGGGCGAAAGAAGATTATCACATCGACAGTTTTGGTTCAACGGCCCAAAACCCAGTAACACTGTGTGCACGAGTAATTAGCATCCAGCCAATTGATACCCCAATTTAGTACCGCACAGCACCGGCCACGTCAAAGATATTGGAAAACAGATAAGCGACCAACCCGTGTGTTCATACCATATGCCATCCAAAGCGGATGCGTAACATTAGAGAGTCATTCGCGGCGCACTAAATCACACTGCACTGTTGTGACCCATTTCGGAAAAAAATAAAATCACCGAATTTTCGCACTCCCTTACCTTGAATCGAATTTGGTTCCATCGGTGAGCTTGCCGGTGTAGTGCATCGTCAGCATATCGCCGCTTTTGCTCTTGCTGGTGCATCCCTCCGGTACGCTGATTACGTCGACCTTCAGCTTTGACTCGCAGATTACGGCCGCCACCAGGCAGGACAGGACTAGCACTTTGGAAATCATCTGTAACGGAAAACGGGGACAAGAGGGAGAAAACGGTGAGACCTATGACTGCAAGCGGTGTAATTCAAGGTTGTACAGTGAACTTGTGACGGAAGGATGCTATCAAAAATGCATTGCTGGCTTGCATAATACAGCTGTTATTGTGTTTTTGCGTTCCAAGATCCTAGGTGATGTGTAAAAGAAACGCATCCGCCTTTTTTTAGTTGCTAGGAGGATTTCAAATCAGTGACTAAGCCTCCAACTATACGGAGCCTAGCACTTTCTAAAATCCTCTCCTCTCTCTTTTGAGTCACTATCTTGATTCAACAAAACAAAGATCAGAATGCAGTCCGAATGTCAACGATCACTAGACATGGCTCGCATGCCAAAAATAGGTACTAGATTGCGCAGAGTTTGACTGGTGCAGAAACGAAGACGGTGCGAAGCAGTTTTCCCAGCCTCCCCCGACTTCTTCAGACGGAAAACCGGAATTCAACACAAGCGGCATGACACTCCGAATTGGAGACCGGATTGGGGGAACCGGATTCATAGTTTGTCTTCTTGCTTCTTTCTACCTTCTCAATGGTTGGTTTCTGGGTCGCATTTGCAGTGACCACAAATTCCTTCGCGAAACAAAAATGCAACTGTTTTGTACGAGGTGGGTCGTAGTTGGTATGGGAAGTTAGTTAGGAATTACTGAGCATTGCCAAACTGACTTTAGTATCAATGGCGAAGACTTGTAAATGAGCATTTGGAAGATGAAAGTTGTGGCAGTGAAAAATAGTTGTTGCACTAATGAGGGTTGATGAGACGGTTTGCTTGGTAATGGTCGCAAATTGTGGATTGTTTGCGAATTTCCGAAAATTGGCGCCACTATTGTTTGTGCATTAGTAAATTTCAGTATTTCTCTCTCTCTTTAAATACCGTACGAAAGTGAAGTCCGTTCACCAAATAAAAAATGTACTTGTAAAAAGTGGACAAAGCCTAGGGAAATTGAGAAATTTTCTAACCCGAAAAATTCTTAGATAGGACCGGAAATCGGTTTTGCTTTTTAGCTGCACATTAATCGGTCGGTAATTTTTAAACTACGGCACTATTTGGTAAAAGTTAAAAAATCAGCTAATTAGAAAAAAACATAGAAAATTTATTCCGAACTTGTACAGACTTTATTCAGTTAGCCCCATTTAATGCTAAAAATTACCATTAGTCGATTCTATTGATTTCTTACGTATAAAGGTCAGTTGAAATTTTTCCGACTTTTCCAGATGTTAAAAACCCGGTAAAATCTTACCGACTTCGATGATCTGAATTCAGTGTGTATGCATTTGCCTTGTCTTTTGAGGAAATATTTCAATCGAAGGCTTTTAACGGTTTTAACGTTTGGTGATAGTTTGTTACACGGAGAAAAAATACTACCCAAAACTTGAGTTCTGTTTACTTAATTTTGAGTTGAGTCTCTCAATTGCACTCTTTCTTCTTCTTCGCATTTCAAGCTTATTGCATATCGCATATTAGCTTATTGCGTGCTCTCATCTAAGTGTTCTAGATGCTAGGCGAGTAAGAGAGGTGACACAGTCGGAAGAAGTGTTAGTTTGTTTACTAAAATGAACTATGCCCATTTTGTTATGGCAAGTTTTGCTATAAGAAATGCTCCTCGTGTTTATTAGCGAAATTCACATCAAAGATTGATTAATTGCGTAGGAAATCAGTTTGGCACGGCATTTGTGACCAGCATACACCTTCCGGTCGTATGAAACAGGTCAAAAACTGTCCAAATCCGCAGATAAAATTTTTTGTTTTGAATTTCTGTATGGCAAAATAGTGAACTTTTCGTGAACATTAACGGCAAAGAACTCACCAATACTGGGAGACCGTGAGTTCCTGCCCACCTGTCATTTCCCATCTCGATCTAGATACACTTCCACAGTTATTAATTGAGTACTTTCGATGCCTGTACCATTTTTGCATTGGTATAATTGTGTGGCAAGTCCAATCATACTTCTATGCCCAGGGAAGTCGAGATATTTTCCAACCCGAAAAATTCCTAGACCAGACCGGGAATTGAACCCAGCCACCTCCAGCATGGTCTTGCTTTGTAGCTGTGCCTTTACCGACTGTGGCCCGCACTCTGTATTGTTGTCATAAAAGGAACGAGAGAATCGACCCAACGATATAGTTCAGTCCAATCAGTTACTTTTGAGTAAATTGCATAGTCTCAAATTTACGTGAATTAAACTTAATTTTGGGTAGAATATACTCAAGAGTAAGTATTTTTTTTGCTGGTGTTAAATGGAAACCCCTATATGCGATTAACTCAAATTTAGGTTATTGAGTTAAACCCGGAAATTGAGGGAAAATCACTTAATTTTGGGTAGTTTTTCATCTCCGTGTAGATCATTGGCTGTGCAGTTAAATAATCGAAATGCATACTTTTACGAAGTTGTATCTTTAAAAAATTGTGAAATACAGGGAATCAACAAATTGCACGTACAGCAGTATGGGAATGTTCATGAAGAATTGTAGATAGATTGATCTTTAAGACCTTGGCTGCTGGTTGATCAAATATTTATTGATGTACAAGTATAGTTTTGGGCTTGATTGGCTGAGTCTTGAGTTTTAGCAATTTTAGTAAACCGACCTATGTTTTAGAAGAAAAATTCGTTTTTTTTTTCAGAAAAGGCGTTTACCTAAATTATATACAATCAGCTAATCAAGCCCAATGCACTCAACTAATCAAACTGATAAATTTTGAAGCTGCATGGGATATATATGAAGCGATGCGTGGAGAACTGCAATCTAGAATTAAATGTACATAGATCTAAGTTAACCATGAGTATTTTAATAAAAATATCCTTCTCTTCTTTGTAGTCGCCTGGCCGTCTTTTTACTTTGCTCTATTCCTTCCAAGAATGCAGGTAATATCTCGCCCTCAAAACACGTAATATTCACCTGAAAAGTATAATGGACAATATCTACGTGCCTTTTCAGGTAAATTTTACGTAACTTTTTGTTGCAGTGTAGACTTGAAAAACTTCCTAGATCTCAATGAAAGATCTCAAATAGCCAGACCTCTGAAAATTTATGATAGGTCTATGATAATTTCGAGATAAAATAAAATAAAAATATTAGTGATTCCGTCAACAATTAACGTTTACAACTGTTTGCAACTTTTCTTGTCAAAGTAGTAGAAACATTCTTCTTTATTTGTGATTTTGTTACGTGGTTTACAATTGATAATACAGGGCACGTGGTTAGCCAGAAGGATTCTTCATCTTTAGTGAAATTTTTGATTTTGTGTTTATACATGTCGTGTTTTACTGTTGTAATGTTTTACAATTCTCTTCTTGAGAATAATGTTTTAAATGTTTTAATTTGTTATTCTACCTACTTAACCTAACTTAGCTTAACCTAACCAAACGTGCCAGATCCCTGATGATCTGTTGATTGGATCGCCTACAGCAATTTCTGAACCTTGCGATGGAGTCAGGTCTCCGTAACTCCAGTGTCTGAAGACCAGCCAGGCGGTGGATCTCAGAGTTTCTAGTCCGCGGTGGACTATTGAGGATCATACTCAGGATATTATTCTGGATCCTTTGTAATTTGAGATGGTGGCTTTTTGCGCAACTCTCCCAGATTGGCATCCCGTATTCTATTACGGGAAGGATAATTTGTTTGTAGACAGCAAGCTTATTTTTCAGAGAAAGGGTGGACCTCCTGTTGATGAGTGGATACAGTGATCTTATCAAAATGTTACACTTGGTTTTGGTTTTGTCAACGTGTTCCCTGAAAATCAGCTTGCTGTCTAGTGTTAAACCGAGGTAGACTACCTCTTTCGACCATTCCAACACTGTGCCGTTGAATAGGATGGGGCCAAGGATGCTTCCTTGTGGAACCCCGGCACCGATGTTGAAATCATCCGATGGGATGCTATTCAGAGAGACTCGGAACGTCCTGTCCGATAGATAGTTGTTTATTATCTTCACTAGAAAGATTGGAAGATCATACTGCTGCAATTTGAACACCTAGCCAACGCTTTTTCAACGTCCAACAACGCAATGACAAATGTTTTCGAAACATACTTATTCCGTCTGAGAATGTTTGTTACTCGAGTCAGCTGGTGGACGGTCGAATGACCTTTCCGAAAACCAAGCTGTTCCTGGAGTAACAAGTTGTTTTAGTCGGCAAATGTTAGGAGCATAGTTTTGATAATCCTGAAAGAAGGCTGATTGGTTGATAACTTCAAGGTGAGGACGGATCCTTCCCAGGTTTCCGGATGGGTATGACTTTAGCTGACTTCCAGCACGAGGGGAAGTAGCCAAGTCTCAGGCACATATTAAAAATCAGTGCCAAATGGTTGTAGAATCTGGAACTCAAGTGCTTGAGTTCCAGGTTCAGGATGTTGTCGAAACCTGGGGCCTTCATGTTTTTAGATGATTTAATATAGGCCAACTGTTCGTCAGCAGAAATCTCGGATTCCTCCGGAAAAAATATTGGGAATCTGGTAGAGGTTGGTTGCGTTTTCAGCAACCTCAGCTTCGTGAGGGCTGACGATGTTTTGTCCGAGATTATGGGAGCTGACGAAGTGTTGACCTATCGCGGCAGCCTTCTCTTCAGGAGTTATCAGATCAACCACTGGGTCGTCGAGATGATTCAGTGGGGCTTCTTGTCTTGTGTTGTAGTTATACTTGGGTGCTGATTCACTCAATTCCTGGCGCAAATGGCCAATCAACTGCAACAGAAGATCATCCATTTGGAACTCAGCGAGTACACGTATATCGACGGTGTGCAGGACCGGCAAGTTCTACATCTCTGCAATATTCCTCAACTCGTTCCTGGAGCCGCTGTCAAGTCACCGAATCTTCAATGTCCCATCGTTTGGCACGATCATGGTGTCAAACGTCAAATGGAAATCGAAAATTCGGTTAACATTGGAGGCATTTGGTGAGATCCTTCCATTATACTATATTTTATACACATCACATATTACTGTTACATTCACTCTTAAGCTATCTAGGAGCGTT